CACACACACACACACACACACACACAGAAGAGAGGGTCTCACCCTCAGGCTCGACCAGCATCCCCCCACTCCAAGAGTGCAGGGGAAACAGATACACCAAACAACAGGCCCCTGCTTCAGACAGCCGGCAAGAAGATATTGTGGATGGGTGAAGGACAGAAAGGAAGACAAAAAAAAAGATGACATAATGGATGATCACAGGAAAGGGTGGAAAGAAAGAGAATGAAGTGGGTGAGGAGGACCCTGGGTTCCTCAATGACATGGCGGACATGCAAAGGCGTCTCCCACCGGCCAGGGGAGGGGCTGAAGCTCACCTCGGAGGAGCTGCTTGATGTCCTTGCTGGCATGCGAGGTGGTGAACTGGTTGACGATGTCCAGCGCCGTCTGGTTGTAGGTATTCCGGATGTTGACGTCAATTCCGGCCTGCCAGGACAACGACACGCTCAAGCGGGAGGTTCAAGTGTTCATTAGCAGTGTGAAGAACAGAATTTCATTTTATATTTGTACAATGGCAGTTAAAGGAATCTAAGTGAACTTAGCTTCTCAGAGGGCTAGCAAATGTACAATTCACTTCACCTGCACATGCCAAGTACAGAGTTCAGCACTATTTAACACGAAGGCCTTCCACAAAAGCTCCAGTTTAACTTACATCCAGCAGCAGCCGCACTACTTCAGTCTTCCCATAGAGGGCGGCCTCATGCAAAGCGGTGCCAGCCTTGGTGGTCCTGTTAATGTCAATGCCTGCTTTCAGGAGCATCCTGGGCGGAGCAGAGTGAAGAACCTTTACAACCTTTGCATTGACAGACCAGTCAATAGTTAAAATATCATTAAATAAGTAACCAGAGAGCCATGAATCAATAACTAATAAAAAAATATTCGGTTACAAATTATGTCAGGAAAGAAGCTCTCAATTGTAGAGCACTGCAGATGAAAGTCAGGAGAAAAGAGAAAAAAAAGAGAGAGAGAAGAGAGAGAGCAGCCCTTGGGGGTACAGCCTCCCAGCTCCACGTCTCTGCTGCCAGGACAGACGTCCTCGACCAAGTGACAGCCGCATTCCTGTGTGATGCATCGCAACCCAAGCCCCCGGGTGCCATATTCAAACATGAGGCGTGTCAATTACCATTCAAAGGAGCACCGAGATGATCCTCAGACACTGAGCTCTGGGATGGCGAGATCATCTTCAGAGTTAGGTGACCACGCATGACCTATAACTATACCAATACTGAGCATGTGTTGGTATCTCTCACCTGCTCTGTGGTCCCTGTCCTCTCTTTACCTGATGTTATGTTTGGCGGTGATGCACAAGAACAGCTTTTAAAAGAAAACCTGCTGTTCTATGTCCACTCCTCTCCAAGCAGTCATTTGCCATCCCTCCATTGAGATGCTCTCATGCTCGCACTTCTTTTTACACGTCTTACACTCTGCCAGCGTCAACCGTTGACTGAAGCGGCTCCGGCTACACACCTGGCTCAGTGGTATGACATACTCAACCTTGGGCAGTCAGCCTTGACAATGATGATTCACTCCTCTGTCTATGGGCTTATCACTAGAATTTAAACACCACAAAGTGGTTTGCATGTTTTAAAAAGTCCGAACAGGACAGAAAGCCCCCAGGAATTAATGGAAGGAGTGAAGCCATCGGTGTCTGACAGTATGCTAACGTCCCTCTGACTCAGCGGACAGCTGCCACATTCTCATCAATGGGGGAATGTGAAGAAAGTAGCCTGATGAAGCTCTTCGTGCAACCTGGCCTTCAGGGAGACGCCCTACCCTCTCCTTCACACCTTTTTCTAACAAATGCAGGCCTGTGCAAGAGTCAGACACTCTTCTGTCTTTATACATGAGTATTTGCATGTATATTTTCTCCTGTCTTCATGTGATCAGATCATCCACACACATACGTGTACAAATGACACATGTATATAATGTTGGCTTTTCATAAAAAAAAATAAAAAATTTAAAAAAACACCCCCAGGGATGAGGTTAAACAGAGCTCCAGGGCCGTATCCCTGGGGTGCAGAAATACCCTGAGGGCAGCAGCCACAGACAGCTGTGCTGGGGGTACGTGTGGTATGGGGGCGACGCCCTCATTAGGAAGAGCAAAGCCTCACCATCGCAGGTTGGAGCACCAGCCCAGGCTCCTCTACAACAGGAGACCCCACCAGGACAGGCCGACACCACTGACTCACAGGCCGACAGCAATGACTCACAGGCCGACAGCAATGACTCACAGGCCGACAGCAATGACTCACAACAACAGGAGAAAGTGAAGAGGAGCCAGAAAGTGGCATTTAACTTCAATCCTTCAAAATCCCGTCAGCAAAACCCCTGCCATTATGGCCCTGCCAAGCTGACGCCTTTATCCAAACAGTCTCACTCACCGGCACAGCTGGATTCTTTGACCAGCAGCGTTCAAGTTATAATACCGTGTGAATGTATGTAATAAAAACACTGAGCACAGCTACTGCCTTAAAGCAATGTGAGGGAAAGTGTGAAGCCAGCAAGATTTCCAGCAGTCATACCCAGCATTTAAAACCCATCCCGTAATGGAATTCCAGCAGCTGAAACTGGAAAGCAACACCATTATTAAAGATGGCTGCCAGGCGCCCCTCCTCTGTCCCGTGTCGAGCAGCGGTCCAGCTCATCAGAGACACTGCGGGCAGAGACCGCGCTGAGCGCTGTTTGGGCAAATCTGCCATCCCGATCGGAACTGCCAAGTAACTACTTCCGCAGGGATGACATGCCCACGAGTGGGGGGCCATGGAAAAAGGAACACCCCACTGCTGCAGCGCCCGCTGAGCCCAGGCTCCACCATGTCCGACTTCCTCCTTTTATCTCTAGTTGCTCAGCCCAGCCTAACCTGTAAGGTGGTGCGTCAGTCACAGACCGGGCTGCACGGCCTCTGAATTAGCATCCCAGGCCGAGAGGTCGCGAGTGAACAGAACGCCAGCGGTGCCACGCAGGTCAAAAGGACACCAGCGGGCTGCTCTCCAATCAGCCAGCTGCTCTCAATCAGCAGTCAGACTCTCCCGGGGCACCACAGGGCCGCATGCATGATGGGAGTCTCCCCGGCTGCTGCTCAGCTACAGGCGCCCCAGCCTCGTACCGCAGGAGAGGGTGGCATGGGGGCAGCGGGGCACGCGGCCGTACCTGATGATGTCTTTGTGTCCATTGCGGGCAGCCAGGTGCAGGGGCGTGTTGGCAGAGGACTCTGAGTCATCCCTCCTCTCTCCTTCCAAAAGAGCCCCGATCATGTTACTGTTAAGGAGCAGTTGGGTGACCTGGGGGGGGGGGGGGGTGAGGACATACTTAGCTGATCTCCAGAAAGGGGGAGCTATCACAGGTGAAATTCCCACTGGGTCTCAGTGCCATGTACAACCAACCCCCCCCCCCTCAAAACACCTGTCACCTTACAAATGCAGGGACACCCCCCACCCCCCAAACAGAGAGAAACTATGTAGGGGTCAGAGGTTAGATGCCCACAGCTAACCTTGGAAACTCCAAGCAGAGAGCAGATAGTTCACAGCAGATACTACACATCCCCCCATATTCAGAGCACATTCATGATACGCCCCGGCGTGCCGCAGACGCCAGGCTAAGCTCATTACTCCCCCACAGCGCACAGAGATTACCGATTTTAAACATCTGATTTATGAGACTATGGTTTATCTGAGTACACTATGGATTCTCAGCACACTGTTCCAGAGGGCAGCTGTGATACATCACTGCACCATCACTTTGGCTAGTAAATAAATACATGTCAGATAGAACAGAAAACTCACCTTCAGCCTACCGAACTCACAGGCGAGGTCCAGGGGGGTCTTCTTAACCTTGTTGACCAAGCACGGGTTCGACTGGTGCTGAAGTAGCATCTCAGACTAGTGGAGGAGCACAGGAGACAAACGGTCACATAACCACACACACAGTCCCCCAGCAGGGCTAAGCACACGGGGCCCGTATTGGGTTCATGACGCCAGGTGCTGTTATACAGATTGTATTTCATGCCATCGCACTTCCAGGGGGTTAAGGGGGCAAGACTGAGCAAGTGAAAGGAGGGCCAAGAGAAATGTGCAGAATTGTATAGCAGCTGAAAGCCATGTAAAAGAATACTACACAACGGACGGATTCCCATGTCTGAGCACAGACTTGCCAGGCGGACGAGCTCATGAACGCATTGTTTGGGCAGGCCTTTGTGAAATGGGTAACACACCTCAATGCCTTGTGCACTGTGAGGAAACCAAACCCATGTGTTTCAGTAACACCCTGAGGAAGGTTCTCCCAGCTCCCATTTGTTTGGATTTGAGACACCACCATGGAAACCCGCCTACTCCTAAGCTTCTCGGTGAGACCATAAGACCACTTCAATCCATCTTTCCAGCACCAGCACATGCAGATCCGAAGGAATTGCCCGGCAGGACAAACTGGATGGAGACAGGGAGGCTTCTGATCCTGCTCTGATCTCTCTGAACCTCCACTCAGTGCCCTGATCCTGCCTCGTACCAGACAACTGGAGGGGTCGCGGTGGATGGACGCCCCATACAGAGCAGACAGAGACTATGCAGCCAGATCCTCTGGGGCGGCCAGGCTGGAGTGGATCAAAGAGAGTGTCGGGGGTTAAACTTCAAAAGACCTCTTGCTTCCTTATCTCCAGAGAGCACTCACAAAGCCCCTGAAGATAGTCACTGAGCTCAGAGGAAGAGTGCAGCCCAATGGCAGATCAGTCTTAACTCCATGTTCACCTCATCCTCATTCCCCATGACCCCCCGAGATGCTCTATCTAAGAAACTGACCCGGTTCCTGCCCAGTCACTACGCCAAGCTGGCATACATATGCATACGGATTTCACATGCTGTGTTAACAACCCCCAACCACTTTCACACTTGTGGTTTGCTTCTTCAATGCAGATTTATCTGGATTTCTTTAATGTATGCTCCTCTGTTTCTTTACACTAATATGACCTATGTGAACCTAGAGTTCGCAAAACAATCATGCAAAATTCAATGGAATGCCCAAGATGGAAGTGTGTACACAGAATATTACTACACAGAATGATAGTGAATCCTTGGCCATGGAAGCTGTAACATAAAGGCATCATTTAAAGGGGCAGTTCCCCCCAAAACTGAAAAAAGATATGAAAAAGAGGGGCTTTACCCCTTTTTACCCCTTTATCTAGGTCATTCTACTGGGAGTTGCCCAGTTTTGGAGATATCAGCCGTAGAAATGTCGGGCCTCCCTCGAATATAATGGGAGTGAATGGCATTCTTTCTCTGGTGATTAAAACACCAGAAGTGTAGTGAGCAGTTTAATGTACAAAGTATTTTCTTCCACTGAACGTCACACACCAATTGTATCACTGCGTGGAAGATACATGTGCAACCACCCTGGCAATCTTTTCTGCACAATGATAAAATTGATGTGTGGACCAACTCCTAGCAGAACAACCTAGATGGATAGATTGCAGTAAAGTTTTGGGGTGAACTGTCCCTTTAATGTCAGACTGAGGTGACATTACACAGCCGGCTAGGAGCTGATTCTGAATCCTCCTCTACAGCGTGGGCCTGACAGCTGAGCAACCTTTCACACCTGCTGGATCCGTAGGGCACCGTCCGTTAAACACGGAGCCCCTTCTCGGTGTACCCAGCGGAGCTTTTCATACTGCACCCTGCTCAGGCCACACTACGCTGAGAGAGAAGAGTGGAAACCCAATAGTGGGTCTCCAAAAACACCTGCGTCCTATTAAACGGCTGATAAGTGAGGACTGTCTGAAATGCAAAATGCTGGAGCGGATTAAAGCCATGAGTAAAAGAATGCGTGCATTGAGCAAAATCCCCATGGGAACGCTCAGAGAGTTCACACTGGCTTTCTTGGCAAAGTATTAGGAAGACGCATGGAGATCAAGTGGGGGGGATAGTGTGATGGCGGCATACTCACCACCTCGTAGTGGCCGTACTGGGCAGCCAGGTGCAGTGGAATCTGCCCGTCCAGCGAGGCACCGTTGACCGAGGCCCCGGAGCGAAGCAGCATCAGCACAGAGTCGGCCTTGCCCTGCCAAGCGGCGTAATGCAGAGGCCGCATGCCTGCGGGCCAGGGGGCACAGATGCCGTCACAAAAGGTACAGCACAGTCCAGCACAGACGAGCACACTGACACATGAACTCTGCTTCCTGGTTTGTTCTCTTCCAGAAGGAGGCTGGATTTCCACCCAATAATTTCCAGTAAAACATTTACCCCTGTGTATACGTGTGTAGCGGCACCAGCCAAAACTCTTTCAGGGAAATTCCACTCTGAGTGTCAACACAATAAAACTGCTAAAAATAATAATTAACTCTAACGAGGGAATGTCTTCTACTAATTTTCCTGAACAGTTTGTCCCCCACTTCCATTTAAAAATATCTTTAAGTGCAGTTATGGTAACATCTACTCTAAAGAATTTGTCCCCATGTCAACAGGAAGAAAACAAAACATTATGTGTTCATTTCTGGCACAGCAAAGCACTTCATACAGGTTTTTGCAGCTGCTCTCTGTTTTTTGCATTATGGTCTGCGGGAGAGCTCCAAACACAGAGTTCGCTCAGAGGCTGGTGGCTCCTGGCTGGGGGTTATGATGGGTATCGGCAGCCTGGCTCACCGTTGCTGTCCTTGATGTCCACCGTGGCTTGGGCCTCCAACAGCAGCGACATGAGGTCTATGGTGCCGGTAAGAGCAGCGTGGTGAAGAGCCGAAAATCTGTGTGGGAGTGAGACGGGGACATGAGGAGAAGCCAAACTTGGGAGAGGGGGGGGGGTCTGCTGTGTACATGCTCCACCACTAGGGGGGCCCAAGTGCCACCGACACAACTGTTTAACCCCAACAGGGCTCGCCCATGTTGTGACGTGAAAAAGACGGCTTCACGTTCAAGGTCACCTTTAGGTTCAGGCTAAGTGTGAAGCTGAGCGTAACAGCATTATGAGCGACAAAGTTCTCAGTTTAATACCTCAGACAGCAGTTACTGGCGGTATGCTGCTGTTCACCTGGGGCTAAGGAAATGTCTGGCTGACTCAAGAATCCCACCAGGGGCCAAAACAAAAAGCGTAAATGGCCATGTGGGAGATCCCTTGGCTCCCAGAGCAGCGGCTTACAGCCAGCGCCCCGGAGTGAGACAGCGACCAACAGACAGTCCCATCCTAGCGTGTCGGTCTCAACAGGCGGATAAGTCAAAGGCTCCAGCTGGGGGCCTCAGCCCCAGCACATAAATCTCCCTGATTCAGGCCCGAAATACACATACCCTCATGTCAGCAGGAAGGGGGTAACCCATAACTCAAAACCCATGCTGCTAAGGAAATGTCCATACGGAGAAATGAAAGAAAGCAGTAAATCATCTCTCAAAATCCAAATCATCCAGAAAATGATGCAGGCTTGGGGGGTGGGGGCACATGGTTCTTCCCCCCCCACCCCCTCAGCCTCCACGGAAGCACAGTGAAACTGGAGCTTGGAAGTTCCACTCGTGGGATTTTGGAATGGAGTCGGGTTTGGGCAATGCCCACTGTCCGACAAGCCCACTCTCACGCGAAGCACAGCGACATGCCGGAGTATACATGCGAGACATGCTTCATTCGGCTGCTGTTGTGGAAAGACACTGTGAAAGAGCTCTAATCAACAGGCATGTTTTCCAAAGCATTCAAGTGTGAAGGAAGAAAGAATAAAAAAGACACACTGTTACATTCATCGAATTCATATCTGTGTAAAAAAATTCAGAACCCTTTTTGTCTTGTGGGAGATTTGGGACAGAACCAATTCCGCGTATGCAATACATGCACTGTACTGCCCTCTGAATTTTTGTGTGTTACCAACGTATGTGTCCTTTCTGAACAAGATTTTTTGGATATGAGTATATATGGGGACGAACATAGGGCAATAGACAGAGAGAAAAACTGCTGTATGACGGGGCAGCAACAGGCAGTAATTCAGTCCAAAGTGCAACTATGTCATAAGTCCAAACAGACTGAGACCAAGACTGCATGGACCTGCAGCTGGTCTTGGGTTTAGGAAGCGAAAGTATTGATTACACGCCTAAGAACAGAGCACAGAGGCCGAGGGGGAAGATCTGGTTTATCAGGCTTTTCTTATTATGCTTTTTGCCTGCGTTATCTTCATCAATCGTTGTGTTTCAGTCGCAATCGTGGGTGCCACAGCGTGCAGAAACACGCATGGCTGATGCATGCCGCGCTCGCACACGTGTAGACACAACACAGCAACATTCCTGCACGGCGATCGGTAAGGCCCATGCTCCTCACCGGCGGCAGGAGGGGGCTTATCAGGAGCGGCGAGGCAGCCAAACTCCTTCCCAACCGGCACACTGGACAGGACGGGAAATGCCGTTCTGTTTCATGATGTGCCAGCAGCTGCAGCCCGGCACAAGAAGAGAGGGCAAACATAAAACACTGGCCTTGAAAAAGGCATTTTCAATTATGTATGAACTGAAAAAAATAAGCGTGGGCTGATTGTGAAGCCTGATAGCAGCTGCGTTTACTGTGGGGATAAAGCAGGTGATGACGGGGACCGGATGCCCAGGGCAGTGAGGCTGAAGTGGCCACACTCAATGGCCCCCGTAACGCTCCGCTAACCCGCCCCCCCCCCACCCGCGCTGCACCCAGCTGGCTCTCTGACGTCTTATCGAGAGGCTTCCCGGAGAGATAAGGTTGCTGCATGGCATGCGATCAGGTACATAAGGAAGGAAGCACCCACAGCTCTGGAGGGCTGCAGGGCTACATGCTCTCACTGCAGGCTCAATAACAGCACCAACAGCCCGCCTCTGGGATGGCGACGGGGGAATGCAGCGACTGGGAATCTGTCAGCATAATCGCAGAAACAAGATCCGAGAAATTCTGCCCCTCCAACAAGTATAAGATAGGGAGGGCTTGTGCTGTCACATTCCTGCTCGTTGTGTCCCTGTCGTCACCTGCCAGTCGAAAATTCAGATCAGTGCGTGCAGACGGGGACTCAGACATTTCATTGGAGGCCTGCCACCAACAGAGTCCCGCAGCGTCCCCTGAAGGCGTACATAAACACCCGGAACGAGGAGGACGCTCTTCGCAGAGCGAAAACAAAACAAACAAAGAAAAGAATCTCACAGCATCTTGTCATTGACACTCAGCTAGCTCAGCATAAAACTGGAAAATAAAAAATAAAAAAAAAGACAGAAAAGCATTGAGCCCAATTTGAAGATCAGCGTCAGTTGGTGATTTCCACATATTCCTCAGAAAGGGAGGTGTTCACAAGCCCACTACTCAGCCTCCGCAGACAAAAGGTCAGCGTCAAGTTTGCGGCGTTCCACAGGCATTCGCCATGGCAACACAGCACACCCTTTGCCAATTGCAACGGTCACAGAGGTGTAGCCATTTGGTGCTGGCACACACAGCGCCGTTTTGTGAAACAGCTCTGGAAAAAGAAAAAAAAATGCTGTGAGCAGAGCCAGGCCTCCCCAGGTCTCCAGAGTAACCGTCTGGCATCAGAGGCATCATGAGGACAATGCTGGAGGTAAATGACAGGCCTCTGGGAGGAGGGTTTAAAAACACACACACACACACACACACACACACACACACACACACACACACACACGCACAGTGCACTGTAAGGGCAATGCTGGAGGCAAGCTAAATGACAGGCCTCTGGGAGAGGGGCTAACAACACACACACACACACACACACACACACACAGTCGTGTAATCATATCTTTTTGGGGACACCTCATTCATTTCTTTGGGAAAAATGCTAATGCTAACTATGACAACCATAACTCCTACCCTGCCCTAACCATAACCATAAGTAACCAAACAAAATACAAGGGTTTTTGCATTTTTAGTTTTTTCATTGCAGTCACAGATTTTTATGAAATAAAATAAAACTGGTCCCCATAAGGTAAACCCCCCCCCCCAAAAAAACAGGTATTCATCACGTTATTGGGATATTTGGTCCCTACAAGGTAAGGTATACCTGGACCACACACACACACACACAGACATTATAAGCTCACGTGACACATGAATCAGGTGTGTTTGCTGCAGATACTCCCTCTGTGCAAGTCTTCACCTGACTGCCAGTACTTATTCTTATTTGAAGTGCAACTGCATGTCTTTGGGCTGCAGGAGGCAAAACATATGACGCGAGGAGATCATTTAAACTGTAGCAGCACTATGTCATTTGTTAATTAAAATAGATTTGGCTCCTGGGTATTTCTCAATACTTAAACTTCCAGGTAAGACGCGCCATTTCAGAAATAATCAACATGTTGAAAACTCAGCATAGTTTTTTAGAGATGACAGAGTTCATTTATATTCCCGACTGCCTGAGAGAAGCAATGTTCAGCACAGCTTAAAGTCAAGCCAACCCTAAACTCCTCTGGTCCAGATTTTAAGATGTTGAGGTTTAAAAGGAACAGAAGAGTGTGTATCCTGTATCTCTCCATATGCTGCATTACTGGTTTACGATAAACAAGAGATGACGAGTCAGATAGCTCAGAAAAAAGTTTGTCATGTTGCCCAGGAGTGTGACTTGAGTCACGCTACAGATGCACAGTAACCGGCTTGAGGAGGAGAGCAGTGCTCCTGTTCGTTTTGTACCATGCGTCTCTAGTTCTGATAAGCAGACGGCCAGCTGCGTGTTCGCGAACATTCCTGTGCAGTCTCACACCCATGCACAGCATGGGATGGCGTGTGCCGCCAGCAGCGGCAGAGCCTAGTAGAGGAACTGCTCCAGCTCCCGGGCTCCCAATCCACGTATGCAAAAGCCCAAATTAGCACTACGACATGTTAATGTTTAGGGCAACCCTCAGCAAGCTGGGATTTTCAGCCATTTGCTTTCTTTCACCTCTAACGGTAGAGTCATCACCACAGCAACGTGTGCCATGCGGGTATCATAGATGCTCTTATCTGACTGGCCATAGTCCACTCCCTCACATTTTATAATCTTTAACATCATCAGTGGCATCACACCCCCCCAACCCAGATCTGTTCTGGCCTACCACTGAACTCTGCTGTTCACAAAAGGCAAAAGACAACAAAAACAACACACACAACATAGCCAAGAGTCTGATAAGCCTAGACTCCCCCCTCCTCCCCCCCAGCACTATGGAGGACACAGATGCCACCAGACAGCTCAGTCAGATGCCAGAATGTGATTCTGGCTCTGTGGACTGAGAGGCACAAAAAAAGCATCCGAAGGAGCTA